CTGGAGCCCTCCGTGGTCACATCGCTGGAGCCCTTCGTGGTCAGTCACGTGGGGACCGTCCCTGGAGCCCTCCGTGGTCAGTCCCGTCGGGATGTCCGGAGCCCTCGGCGGTCAGCTCCGTTAGGCGCACGGGGTTAAAGCTGCAGGGCTTGCTCATCAGTGCGCCTGAGGCCTCGTTATCAGAGGCCGGGCAGCAGCTCCCAAGAGCGCTCCCTCCTCTGGGTCACCGCAGGAGCCGGTGCGGCTCTCAGTAAAGTTTTGGTTGCCATGGCGATCCTCAAGCCCAGGCACTGGCGAGGGGGAGACGCGCGTGCAGTCGGGAGGGCTGGCAAGCCCCGATGGGCGGCCGCGCTGGCCAATGGTGGAACGCAGCGCCCAGAGCCCTGGCAGGGCCAGTCTTCCATTCCTGAGCCGCCCTCAGCTAGGACATGAATGACAGATGCCGACGTCCAATGGCAGGAGACGCAGAGGTTCTGGGAGTGGGCGCACCAGCTCCCAATGCACAAGGCTCTCTATCCGAAGCTGAAGGACAAGGCTCGTGGACCAATGGTGTGAGGCTACGTCTATCGGCAAGCCAATCGCTTTGGAACGCCGAGGCCTGGGAGGTTCCACCTCCTCTCACCTAAATCCTCTGGTATCCCGGGGGATGCGTTGACGGACGGGGATAAAGGCCAATGATATGAAGGTCATTTAGCAGAGAGCCAATCGATTGCGACCCTAGAAGGACCCGTCTCCCAACCCTCGGGCCTCCACAGCACAGAGCTGAAGAACAAGGAACTTAGGCCAATGGAAGCATTCGAGCCCTGGGAGGCGGGGCCTAGTCTCCCTGGCAACGTAGGCGGACGTTGAGGGAGTCAGAGGGCGGGCGTATGACGGCACCGCCCAGGCACCATGGCGACAGTGGAGTGACAGCCACACGGACCAATGGGAGGCGGCGCTGCGGCGGCGAAGCAGGGCTGAGAGGGCCGGCGCGGGGCGGGCCGGGGCGGGAGTCGCGGGGCCGGGGCGGCGGGAGCAGGAGCTGGAGGCGGTGGTGGCGGCGGCGGCGGCGGCGGCGGTGGGAGCCGGAAGAGGAGGAGGGGGAGGGGGAGGTGAGAGACCGGGGAGGGCCGGGCCTGACCTCCGACCCTAGTCCCCCAGTCGGCTGGGGCCCCTCCCCCATTCCCTCCTGCCTTCCATTTCTCCCCCTCCCGCAGCGTTCAACGAGCCCCCGCCCGCCCACGTTCGGTCTCCCCCCGCCCGTGTTCTGTGCACACCCCCTCGCCCTCGTGTTGTGTGCTCCCCCCTCCGCCCGTGTTCTGTGCACACCCTTCACCCCCTCCGTGTTCTGTGCACACCCCCTCGCCCTCGTGTTCAGTGCTCCCCCCTCCGCCCGTGTTCTGTGCTCCCCCCTCCGCCCGTGT